GGGGGGGGGGGGGGGGGAAGGTGGTCGACGTGAATAGTAGAGGTTGTAGAAAACAACCGGGTATGTCTCGTGCTGTGGTGCAGGGGTTGCCCAGAATGCCACGCTTCCAGCTTTAACAAACTCATCCTGCTCAGCTGTGTGACGTCCCCGAGCCATCGGTCCCTAATTGCTGGTTCACCACCCGTCAATCGCTCTTCGCCGCTAGGAGGAGTCCGTTCAAGTCACGTGTTTGACTTCCGGTGCACGCGCTAAGGACGCTTTTCCCCAGAGCTAAAAAAAGGTCTTGTTTTTTTCCCCTCGCAGGCGAGTAGAGCGGCTGCTGTAGCTTGGTTTCCGGTAACTTGTGGTATTTGATATCATCATTATTTTAGACAGCATACCCACAAGTGGCTCGTGTGTCTCCCACCAGCTCCACAAAATCTAAACTCACTCTAAATCTAACACTGATCTTAGCTCTAACCCTAAGACAGACTTCTTTCATTGGCTACCTGTCATTGTTCTAACCCTGAGACAGACTTCTTTCATTGGCTACCTGTCATTGTTCTAACCCTCATCACCCATACTCTCTGTTCCTACACTCCCATTTCCTACACTACCTGCTCCTACACTTCCTGATCCCACTTTATCTTTTCTAAGACTTACTGTTCCAACAGCCCCAGTTCTAAGACACCCTGTTCCAACGACACCCCAAGTGCCAAGATTCCTTCTTCCAACAACATTCCCTTTTCCAAAACTCCCTGTTCCAACTCCCTTTTCCAGCACCCGATGTTCAAAGACTCCTTGTTCCAACGCCCCCCTATCCAACAACACTCCTTATCCAACAACACTCCCTATCCAACAACACTCCCTATCCAACAGCACACCCGATCCAACAGCACTCCCTATCCAACAACACTCCCTATCCAACAACACTCCCTATCCAACAACACTCCCTATCCAACAACACTCCCTATCCAACAACACTCCCTATCCAAATAACACTCCCTATCCAACAACACTCCCTATCCAACAACACTCCCTATCCAACAACACTCCCTATCCAACAACACTCCCTATCCAACAACACTCCCTATCCAACAACACTCCCTATCCAACAACACTCCCT